AACCCCCCCGCTTGCCCTCCGATCCCCGCGCCTACTCCGCGAATTTTTGACGCCGTGTGTACTGAGCTCAGACGAATACGCGGAACCAGCAAAGAACTGCTGCCATTCGACCAGCCGAACTCACAATTTGCACCGACACCCGAAATGTGCAGTCGGTGCGAACCAGCCGAAATCGCTATAAGAATTATGTACCTAAGAATTATGTTTGTGATTACAAAAAAAACAGATATTTGTTCGAAAATGTTAATAAAAATAAAATTTACCAAAGTTACGCTCCAAACACATGAATTAAATTTTGATAGTTAAAACTTCACCAGCTGTGCACAGCAATATACAAGCAGTTATCGTAATAAAAATAACAACATTACTATTTAATTTTAAATTACTGTGTAACATCATTTATTTTTTTATGAAAAATTGCCGTCACTTCATAAATTTAAAAAATTCGGAGAAACTTTATTTTATGATTCACAGACAACCGCGATTTATGTCTTTCTTAAGGGGATGCTGAATCGTCCTGTTTTATCCTCATGTCGTCTTTAGAATTTTTTGTGAAAATTATGAATCGGAACAAAAACTTCTCCAGAAATAAAGAAAATATAGTAAAAAATGGGATAAAGCATAAAAATTTAAGAAAACCAAAAAAAAGTTTATAGACTGTTCCTACAGAAACTACATTTTTACTTTATATGCAAAATTGTCCATATAAATCCAAATAAAAATATCTTTAACCCAAACTAGAAACATAGACAAATATTTTGAGTGCTTCAAAAAAGATTTTGAAGCCTTGTGAGACAAGAAAAATTCTAAATACAATTAGTACAATTTTAGCAGAAGCGTCAAAGAGAAACATATGTCTATCCTTGTTTCTCTCATGTTATCTATCCTTGTTTTGGTTTGACTTGGTCCCGAGAGATGACGCCACCTACCAATAACGTAGCGGTTGAGTAGCAGCTGAGCGGACTTTTGCCAGCGGTTCAGCATCCTCTTAAATCGTCGAAACTGATAACTGTGATATTAGATCAGTATCTATTTTTTATAGCGATTTCGGATAGTCTGCACCGACTGCACATTTCGGGTGTCGCACAATGGGCCAGAAGAACCAAATAAGTGGCCAAAATTTAATTACGTATTTACAGAAACTAATTGTGTTATGGATACGGGAATGGATACATAGTGATGTTGAGAATACGTTTTACAAAAAAAGTGATATCACAAAGTAGCGCCAAGTAAATTTTGTACGTTTGTACTTTTGTACATTATTATCCTAATCTAAGTATACATAACTACTTTGTTAAGTTTTCGTTACGGAAAAAATTTTGAAAGAAAGAATTGTCTGGGCCTAT